GCTTAGTCTAAAGAAAGTGAAGTTGGCTTTAATGTGCACTCAACCCTAAATAGACCATTTCGGAAATACCATATTATGGTATCTATATATTTAGATAAATCTTTTACGCGCAGGAGTCTTCAGCAGAGGGAGGATCCGGACAAAAGCCGCGATGTTAGACAGGCGACCCTACTTGTCGCGTACAAAATTGAAGTGGAAAGCACAACAACCTTTGACTCAATGACAAACCTTATCAGACCCAAACAGCATCCGAAACACACCTACCTCTCATTCCACATATATAATTTTGACAGGGCATTTATTTATCATTTCTACCGTAAAACTCTTTTCCAAACTTTCTTAATTTGAATCTAATTAAACATCTGCTATTGAGCAAGAAATGATTCCCAATTCCGTCCATCAAAGGTAGGCAAAGGCATTGCTGATGACAGTCTTGACAATTTCCTATATTAAGCTTTCATGAAACAATCTCGTTGATATGTTTTGAAAACGTTTGTCAGTTCAGTTCATCACATTAGCTACCAACCGATAAAGCTGAATCAATAGGCACATTTAGTCGTATTAATTAAACATGAATTTGTATAAAGACGTGTGTTTTATGGCCCGCTAACAGGTAATAGATTTTTATTGATTATTGTATAATGTCCATTGATACCTCTTGTTATCACTGCAGGATATCTTTGCTCATAATATACATGTAGTGTGTGTGTTAAATCGACAAACGAAATGTCATAAGTCGTGCCAGATTGTCGCAAATTAATGTCAAAAATGAATTTAGTACTACGATTTCATCTGAGCTGCCCATATAAGTGGTAGGATATGCTATTCCTTCTTAAAGCATCCGATTCCGGGTAGACAAAGGCATATTATTAGTATATTGAGGGCTTTCAATTATATGGCTTCCATAATTTCAAAAATCTGCCACTATCCCCCTAAATAGGAAAAGGTATTGGGTGGTCTTGAAGGATTTGAGCATACTCTTTGACAAATATTGGCTATAAGGTACCATTTTGGACAAATGTGTTACAATGTTTCCCATATGCAAGAATAAGTGATTATGTTATTTGAACTATAATATTATATGCGTATATGGTCGGTTGGCACCAAAATTTTAAACATCGTACAGTGATTTATATTGTACACCTTACTGCTCCACCGAACCCATCCTTCCCTTCTAGCCTAAATAAATGTACTGTGAATCACTGCATGAATTGTTCTTCAATATATACACAAATTGGTCTTCACTGACTCCATTCAACACGCGACATCCAGGAACTGAACCGGCATCACGATTTTAGCCCTGGATCCGCGCCAAAAAAAGGATCGGATCATAAATTTTACATTTGAATTGTATTAATTAATCATAATGGTGTGTTGTGAGTTTCCTTTATTATAGTTAAGCTGTTGAGCGTTTAAGGCAAAAATCAATATGGCCGCCTCTTTTGTAATAAGACGCTCTTGATGATTGTAGATTGCTGTAAATTAACTTCTTCGATCAACAATTTGATTCAATCAACAATAGTCTACTTAACCAATTTACTTAATCATATAATAAATATCTTAGTAGGTGTACGTAAACTTTTCTTTGATCATTGAAAAATTCATTATAGTACAGGCTTACAAAGTACAAACCTTGCGATATAAGAAAGCATCTTCACACACAAGCGTGTGGTAAACACGGAATTCGCAAGGAGACGCTATGCCCAGGGGCTTTTTTATTGCAGACATGAATGGTTTATCTGAATTGTCGATAACGTCTTATACAAGAATATCAGTGCAATTCCATTGTTTATCCTAACCTTTCCCCTATCAAAAATTCTAGGGGGGTTGGATGGTTAGTGTGCGCGCGCTGTATCATAAAGTCTGTCATTGAGTCGACTGGCGTGGTTTCGAATCCCCAGTTGTACGTGACGTAGGGTCGCCTGTCCAAACTCGTGGGTTTTCTCCGGATCCCAAAATGACCTAGTTTAGTCCCGAAATGACCTAGTTTGTGTCGAGTGGACGTTAAACCCCATTTTTCTCTCTCTCTCTATTAAAAATTCTACAATCAAATAAATGATAATATATTTTAAAGTTTTTCTGTTATTTTTTTCTGTTTTTTTATTATTATATAGACATTGAGCTTACGATTTACTTTGGCGAATTGTGTGTGTATCGGTGTCTTTTGAGAAATTTGATCCATAGAAGACTTCTTCTCAACAAAATATATATTTCTTGAATCAATGTGTTAAAAATATCAGTTGAGAATATGCAATTATAAAAACAGAAGTCAAAGAAATATTTGACTTTTATGTCGTTTCATATTTTACATATTTCTGTTTATTTAATATTAAATATAAATGTGAAGGTTGCATAAATACAGATGGCTAATAGATAACTAACTTCTCTTATTTCATTGTACACTTTCGCACAATACATATCCCTAATCTTTCTCATCGAGGATATAGTTTCACGGTACAGTCTCAATATCAATTGTGGGCTGAATATTCCTTAAGGTTTGTTTTACCAGATATTATTTTACATATCTCTTTCACGAGATTTCGGGCGTAAACCAAATTTGTGTGTATTGTCCGTTGGGTGTTCATTTACATGACGATTTCTCGTTTATAAAACTGTGATCGTGCACGTGTGATAATTCAAATGGGTGTCCATTGTGAGACTAATATCTGTTTGTTTGTTTGTTTGGTTGTTTACATCGTACCTTCATAAGTCATTGGTTTATGTTAGTTTATATATAGGACCATTATATAATAGTAAGTATATTATATTAAAATATTGCATGCTAATCAAGCTAGTCAAAGAGGGACAACTCTGTAATACCGCTCCCCAAATTAACTACACCCCTTCCTTTATGCGACAACCAATCAGAGCGTGACAAAGTTCCGGCGTATTGACACTGTCTAATTTTGATTGGTTCATAGATGTAAAATGTCAGTTAATGCAGTTACGTCGGGGCGTTAATCTATAGATCTAAGAGTGTCATGTTACACCGGGCCAAATTGACTGTCAGTTTTAAAACTTGATATAGCTACACTATGTACAGTGAATACAAATTTAAATATTAGATAAGATTTGACAACATTTTTTCTTGTTCTTTGACCCGTACTGAAACCATACATTGCGCCATATAAACTGAACACAAATGTATAAGACAATAGTGTCATATTAATGGCGGTTTGTCATTTTTGAAAAGTTGTGTATGTGGGTCTTGCATGGAAGATTTACCAGCATGGTGATTATTTACATCCATTTACTAATAATTTAATAGTACGATATTGTCGTTTTCTTGACAACCGTTTTCGGGTGCTTTATTGTTCAGGAAACTTAACCCCTTCTAAAATTAAACTATTTCTAAATTTGTAAATGAGAAACCGAGAAGTCATCACGTGAAACGGACCTTAACGGATGATGGATAGTATAGTAACAGAGCAATGTATATGTCTACGTTTGAAATTGGCGGGAACAAACAAATTTCAACAATTCCTTGAAATCAAAGCCAAAGATATTTCTCAACTGGCGAATATTTTTAGCTTTAATTCTCTCAATTATCACAACCATCCCGGGAATTTGTAACATGAGATATCTAGTCGCAGCAGTTTACGATGGGAAGAGTTGGGGTAAAGGTATCGCTCCCTGAAACACGCCAATCACAAAACTATCAGTAGAGTTATACTGCAATCACATCTGGGAAAGAGCATGTCTTTGGTTTTTATTGCACCGGCACCATCGGTACTGTTCTGGTAGTCGAGTCTTTATAGCGTACTTCCAGGAAATGTCTGGATCCCATTAAATAGGTTGATATTTAAACATTCTGCATCGTAAAAATAAGGATGTGTTTCATTGAAAGACAGCAACTCTTTCATGTGAATCTGTATTATCAGATAAATTTTGTAAGAAATCGCAGATCCCCTTTAAATTGCGGTGCAATAAATTGAGCCACATTATTTAAATTCAAAGTAATTCGCCTTGTACATTTGAAAGGAGTGACAAATATATGGAAAACTGTATTATACAGATCCACAAAAGAGATTGACGCTTTCGGCAGCTGAAATACTGTTTCAACAATATCATTGCCTTACAAAGCTAAAATAAACGATGCTACAACTGATACCACTCTTAAAGCTTATTTCTTTTCAAAGGAAACAAGTAAGAATAGGCCTACACCATGTGTGACATTAAAGACTACTACAACTCTTGACTCAATCAACATGGACTGTTTATAAAACCTTCTCACAGACTTGTTCACATTAACCCGGTTCGCTGCACTTATATACATTGTAACCAATACGTTTACTAAAGCGACATAGTTTGTTTTTTCTCAGTAACCTAACTACTTTCTTTTCTTTTCGTTTCGTTATTTGTTTTCACAATCCACAATTTGATTTTTGTTCCACCATGTTTGTTTTTCATGTGTCAGGATTCCGTTGCAAGTATTCGGTGAGTTTGCCGATAATATACTTGTCTTAGCAAGATCATTTTTGAAGATAAAAGTTTTTGGCAATATCTTGACTTCTCTTTGTGTTTCAGTTACGTGCGAAATCGTTCATATTTCTACTTGTGAATTTTCTTTCAATCCGCATCAGTTACAAAATAAACAGAGATTTGAATTGTTAAACATAATAGAAAAATTCCATTGTTTTAGGAACACAGAGAAAGACAAGTATGAGAAGCTGTAATATTGCCTCAAATATAACTGTTACTTCAAATTAATCTAACATTTCTCTAAGGCATTGTGTGACTTTGTGGTATCAGTAAAGATCAAATACATTAAAGTGATATTAAAATATGTCATCTCATAAAATTTTATATTATTTAAAGAAGTTTCTAGAAATTGTTACTTTAACAAATTTATTTGAAATATTTTTGAATTGATGTCACAAGAGGCACACAATTTACACATTAGAGAAATAAAAACAACACAATATATTTCACTGTTTGCTTAAAAGTTTATTTTAATAACATAAATAAATAATATTAATATTTTACAATAATATGTTTCTACAAGGTAACAATTAGTTTGGTTTTATTTTTGGGGTTTTTTTTCTTAAAAAAAAAGAAAATATTGTCGCTGTATATTATATTTTATAATATAATCATGTCACAAATGAAATAGATTTTAGTCTCGGATCCTGGAATATTTTTAACTTACTATAATTTAAGATGTCACACGCGTTCTAATATATTTTAGTTTTAAAATTAATTTCATTTTTACTCACTGAAAGTTTCTGCATTTTGATCCACACCGACCAGGCCCTGAAAAAAGCACAAGGGATAACAATATATTAATATAAATATTAATTGTAATGTTCATGTTAGAAATGATATTAAATTATCAAAATTATGTTTATAGCTAGTAATACAATATAACAACAATTTATTTATTTTTTTTAAAAAAAGAAATATAGATAAAATGTTTTAATAGTTTAATAAATAATCCAAAATACAAAAAAACGTGGTCATAAAACATTAAATTCATTACACATTTTATGTTTTTAATCATGAATTATTTCAACAAATAACTATTAATATTACCAATAAAAATCTTAATAAAATAAACGGATAAATCTTGAAATTGACAATCCGATTTACATAGTTATTATGTGGAATTTGTTGTTATTTAACGATACCATGTAACGGCAATCTAATCCTCATTATGATCTAATAGTGGTTAATGAAGCATTACGAACTAAATTTAAACCCCACTCTCTAATATTATCAATTTATTTAACTATTAGTTAATAACTGTGTTGTTAATATTGTGTATTTCACGTCTTGATTGACAGGTACGCTGTCAACTGCGGACATAAATGAATTTGAATAATATGCTTTATTCCTACGTTTTGTTAAAACGCACCCATCCTAAATACTAATTCAACAGATTCACTCAATCAGGAAATATGCACCGTTTTACTCACTGTTGCACATTTTCTATTCACAAAATAAATACTCGATAATCTAGAACTAAAATGATATGGTCTCTCTTCCAGGGTCAAATACCAACAACACTAGTTGTGTCGGGGATTTTTATTGGTGGACTTGGATCACGTGATTAATGTTGTTCTCGCACGAGAGATTTCTACTATATATATCACGGGGTAAGTAAAGCCTATATATATACGCCACTATTAACATTAATTGAACAATCTTAACTGCGGTTTATTGCAGTTATGACCCAGAATGAATGGAGAAGCATTAATAGAGTATAAATCTGTACTTTATTATATATTTATGGGAACCTCTATAAGTATGAATGAATGAAAGATCATAGTATTTTTTATCCGATTCATGGCATGAGATGCGTCATAAATTGTTTGCGGCTATAAATTACCCTTTTATAATTTTATTGGCAGTCAATTGCTGTAATTCTTTTAGCGGAATACGATATATTTCTCGCTCCCGTAATAACCGTACATTATCTTACAACGATAAAATAGGCATGTTAATAGTTATTGCAAGTCACTTACCGTAGACAGTTATTGTTTTCGCTTAGTTAAACAAAATATATATCTAATATAAATACTGCACCGACATATTTAAAGGTACATTAAGTCATATCCAGATATATATATTATATTAAAATACCTCATTAATATCAGTGGAAATATAATACAGAAATTGTCGTTTAATATTATTTTGTCATCCAGCTTGTAAAATAAATTTTAAAAATGCCTGGTTTAAATTAATTTTCAAACAAATTTTTATGATTCTGTTTTTTGATATAAAATTGTCACTTTAAATTGAAGAGATGGAAATGTGATTAATAAATATAGAAAAGCTAGTGAGCGTGTGTTTGATAGACTTCAAGCCGTCATATATTTCTGTCTACCCCTACATGTTTAATCCTTGACACGGTAAATTTATCTATAACTTTATTTATGAGAATTTTATGTTGGAGATGCAATAATTTACATGTAAAAGTAAATCTAGCACAAAGATAAATAAGATTTTGTTGAAATATTTTTATAAATTGTGAGACAGTGATTACGCTATTCTGAGCTACTGAAACAACAAAACATCCCTCAAGTATATATTGTCACTTTAAAGATGTATATTTCTTAAAGCTATAATTTTTAAAAACAATATATTAAATTAAAACATACAGCATCTTTTATTTTTTAGATTTATATTTCCATGTTGACATGATTGCTTTTTTTAAAAAATAAAATATACAGAAAAGAAGGGAAAATGAGATAGAAAGAGAAGCATTGATTTTTGTGTAAAACGTCACTAAAACCTGTGTACATTATACAATGCATTACTTAATATATTACGAATATATTACGAATTCATGGTGTGAAGTCTGTATAAACTATGCGTCTATTACCACCCATATGACAAATTTGAAATTCATGGTCAAATATGGTTTCTAAAGGCATATCAACTACAGTCATATTTCTTTTGCCCGTTTGATCTTTTTTTGTATTATAAAAAACGAAGCGAAAAGGAGTGAGGTCTGGCAAAGCAAATTGTATTATAAAAAGATTCAAACATTGACGAATGATAAATGTGAAATAAACGAGAATACGAGTAGTGTTGGATATGATATTTGTGTTGGCGATGTTAACACACCGATCTGTTCTATATATTCATAAATTTTATACACACGTTGACTTAAACGATTACCCCACGACACAAAATGAATAAATAGATTTACATACGCTGTTTTATATTTTCGCCAGACAACCTCAGAATCGGCAGTCTTTGATCACGAAGGCAGAACGTCTGGCTTTTCTATACTAACGATCTTTGCAAGCCACAGTCGGTAAAATTCGGGTAAATGTTCTATCGAAAAAAAGTATTTTAGCTGTCTCATTTGAACTCGCAATAAACAGACCTGTATATGTGTATGTTTCTCCGACACGGCAGAAACTGTGTCAAGAATATCATATTTCTAATAAGCCTATCTATATCATGTTTTAGATAAACGATACATAAATTATCATATCGTCGAAATATCATTATACAAGTATCAAATTCAATGACAAATGTTATGAATAAATGTATAATATCAATATATTTTCATGAATATTAAATAAATAAATTATTTATTAAATATAATTAAATGAGTTTTTGATTTCAGGATAAATATTAAATAAATAGCTGTCATAAATTTATATATTAAAAATTGATTCGTTTTAATAATAATAATAATTATAATAATAAAAAATAATAATAATAATAATAATAATAATAATAATAAACATATCATGTGTAAACAATAATAAACGATAATGAAAAAGGGGACAATTAAAGTATTTTAAAGATAATAGTGAATATTATTTTAATACTTAATGCTCTTATTATTATTATTTTAAATATATTTACCATAAATCACTAGGCTTATAAGAAATAAATTAAATATTAAAAATCTGTAGCTAAATTACGTGTGCTCAAAATAGCCTTTTTACATTAAAAATATGTTTTGCTTTGGTTTATTTTCTGTTGTTTTAATCTGTCATATATATTTAAATGAAGTAAAATAAAAGTCGTTAAAAATCACCAGAAGCAATTCCAACGGAAAAAATCCATTTCCGACAATTTGGACAATAAAACTTGAATTTGAAATAAAAAGAAGAACGGGAATGTTAAGAATCTCTGTGTTTTCATATACATCATAATAAATCTGACAGGAGTTGTCTACTAGTTTCTAAATAGGTTCCGACATATACATCCATAAAAAGGAAAATAACAAGACGGCCGGGCTATGTTTATTTTAAATAAATGTTTTTACATAATAGCCAATGACCCCATGTAATATTTCTTTGTTTTAAGGACGATGACCTATATACCCATATAAATCTTAAAAATATATTAAAATTATATTTTAAGCTACAGAGGATGTTCTATTAATGTTAAAAAATCAAATTAATCGCCCACGTGGAAATATTATTATCTAATAAATTTAACATTTATCCTTTATAATGCTTCTTTTACTATAAACAAACAAAATGTAAAAAAATAAAATCATTGTTATGTTTTAAAAATATAAATCATGGCCGTTAATCGACCAAGAAATGTCTTTTAGCCGCTTTAAAAAATAGGACATTTTCCGCATATTTGAACGTGACTAAACTATAGTTAAACACGAAGGTGTATCGATCGATAAATGTTCTGATCGATAGAAAAAGACTATTGATCAATTTGCACATTGATTAAAATTTGAAGAAGCCTGGTTTCCGTTAGCAATATGGCGGACGGATATCGCCCGTACTGTATATGAATGGTGGGATTGATTTCAGAAACACGGGGTGAATAAAAGTTACTTCGGTTCAATGAGCACCAACAATGACGCTATTTTGACATCCAAGGCAGAATAATTATTAGCTTACTTTAGATGGTGGCTTTAATAGAAACTCACGAAATCGTATACTATAATTTATTTTGTTATTAAGAAATTGGTTGGTATATTTTTTGTCATCTCATGACGGGCTAGCGTATCTAAACACCCTATTAATACACAATACCTGTATGTACATCGTATTTAGAAACTTAACTTTGAAACTGACTTCTATCGCTCCCATTTTCTATACCCCGTAATCTTATTCACGCTACGTCGCGTTCACAAGACAGATATCGTATTCTTCCCTTTCTTATCTATCCCTTAACTGTAATGGAGTAAATTTCTGTATTATAGTATCTACTCTCCGTTGGTTTTACATAGTCATCAACGAAATTTATTCAATTCCATATGACTACCATTTGACACGATAGAATCATCCCCACGTGATCCGTTTCGATAATATAATCTAACCACTATTATAAAACGTATCAGGTTTCATCCCAGACATCTTTAACGGGTATAAGATTAAAATAAATGAAAAACATACCCCAACATCCAAGCAGTATTCGACGTGTTAAAAGAAATCCCAAATTTTTCTTTCGTTCCATTTCCGATGTGATCTGTGTCTAAAACAAAAAAGAGAAACGCTATGGCAGGACTCCGTTTAAAAGACACTGTCGTCGGTACGTCTTTTGTTAAAATGTGTACATCACTTGATTTAGTGTTTTAGCTGTGTACGGTAGTTTCATGTGTTTAGTGTGATAAGCACATATCCTGCACGCAAAAATTATTCTTATCTCATTAAGAATGATTTATAATGTTATCACAAAGGGCGGTAGCTTTGTTGGGAATGCTTTGTAGGGATTTTGAAACAATTGTGGGGCAAAACCTTAAAAGCCAACAATCTGTGTGCCCAGGAAAGTATAAGAAGCCTTAGTCAACATTGTTGTGATATCTTATCATCGGGGGTAAATATTCAAAAAGAAATTTGTGAAACTTACAAAGATTTTCTGCACTATATCCTTGACAAGTCGCTCATGGTGGTATCCTAGAAGTATACTACGTCCCATGTTCTCAGCCTGTGAAAATAGCAACTGAGACGCTATATCTTCTTAACAACATACCAGTCTTGTCAGTGTTAATAATAGAGGTCTATCTATATAGTTGTTAACTCGTCCATGTTCTAACTTAAATCTGCACAGAATGTTAGAATCTACTGTAAAAGTATTGAGTTTGGGGGAGCAGTAAATAACATTTAATGGGTGATGTATAGCTGTCGTATTGTGTAGTAATGGCTTCACGTTATTGTTAAAACCGCCGATCGCGCTTCATTGCCTCGTATGATGGTTTTATTCCCCTCATAAAATATACCTTGTCGTTCAATAAAACTCCGACATTGGCATTTGAAAATCTTTGTATTTTATTTTGCAGGTCTGACGTTTTGAGCTGTTTATGAGAGTCGAGACCAAACGTTAATTTGTTTGGTGGTTTGTGGGAAAATTTGGATGTAGCCTCTAATAATCACCAGTGTTGTGTTTTCATTCAAAGCCTCTGTAATGGAAGGCAATATGAGCGCTTATATGCCTAACTCTTACAACCCAATTGACAATTCATTGATGACGCAGTGCAATGGTGGCCAAACGAATCTCACAAACGGTCCTGATTATGCCGCAGTTCGGCAAATGACAAACTATCATGCTTATAGTCCATACGGGGCTCAGCCCACCTACCCACGTTTCCCACCTTACGATCGTTTGGAGGTACGGCCCATTAACTCACAACAAAACCCAGACTATTATCAACGTCATTCAACAAGTCTACCGAACGACAACAATAACTGTTCCGATTACTCCAACCTTCAACAGTATTCCTCCTACAAACAGCACATAACAGGCCCTCGATTTATCGAGAAAGACTGCAGCCCCCCTGATCTCACACATCCCGACTCCCCTGACCATTCCCCTCATGGTTCAGATGGGTTCGGGGGAGGGGAGAACCCCGGAGAAGATGATAAAGAAGATGATTCCACACCAGTCCCAATGTATCCGTGGATGAGAAGTCAATATGGTAATAAAACTAAACTAATATAAAATACCCCTGTAACCGTCCCTGACTTTGATTATGAATTTACAAAGTATTGCTTCCTCATCTAAATGGAGTCTTGACGACAGATGTCTGCTATGGATACACTTATAAAAACGGCCCGTGTCATTAAATACATTGGTCTTTTGTTAAAAACTTAGGAATAGACTTTTAAGTTTAATCTCAGAACATTCCTTTGGCGTTAATTCAGTTCCACATACATTTCTTCAATACAACTAATAAACCTCTAGTTTCCTAGTTCAGCCAACTATTCTCCAAAATCTGTGCCAATATTCTTGTAGTACGTTTTACTCAATTATATAATGAATGCATGGAGTTATTGTGGATTGAGTAAATTAAATGCATGGAAACCATCATGTTAATATGATTGCCGCGTGAGTGGTAAATTCTTGCTTAAGGGGAAGTAACTCCAATGATCATGTTGGTCACAGGCTACGTACACACCAAAGTGTATTTGAACTTACTCCAATACAGAAATTTGTTTCAGGATTCAACTTGGATTTATTTACGTTTAATATTCAGTACAATTTTCATTTGGAAAAATTAAAAAAAAAAAAAGAAAATCGTTTAGATCAATGGTGGTAAACGATTTAAAATTAACTCGTGAAATAAATTTGATAGCATTTAGTTATAACATATAATTGGTTTGGAAGAGGATATCATTAACGCACAAACAATGCTTTGCTTAAAACGCAAAACTTCGTAACATTTTTGTAATAGTAATTTTGAACTTTAAAGTGCTTGTGTTCTTTTTTATTAAATAGCTTCTATCTTTTGCATTTCAGGTCCCAACAGAAAACGTGGTCGACAGACTTATACACGATACCAAACATTAGAATTAGAAAAAGAGTTCCATTTTAACCGATACCTTACCCGAAGGCGTAGAATAGAAATCGCGCATGCGCTTTGTCTGACGGAAAGACAAATCAAAATTTGGTTTCAAAATAGACGAATGAAGTGGAAGAAAGAATCAAAACCAGATGGAGGAAGTGACGAAATAGAGGATGAAAAGGAGAAATAAAATAAACAAAACCATGAAATCAAATGTTATTTAAACAATCAATTTTCTGATCAAATGGCGCAGAAACAATCAATCACGTCATCAAGGTGGTGACGCTGCTATTTGACTGAAAGTAAATTGACATTCATAGACTCAGAGACTGTGCTAAAATGTCAATAAACCAAAGATTTTGTCTCAAGCCAAAGCTGTGTATACATTTTTACCATTGAAATGCTCGAGATAGGGTAAACTCGGTCCTAAGGGTAATTTGATTAAACGGTATGATGCTTAATCACGTATCATACATATTATTATTATAAACATTAAACGTTTTGTCTCGTTGAACTATAGTATTAAATGTGTAATGTGTTATGTTCTGTATGTGCTACCGTACAATATTATATTAAGATGTTTGTAAATTCATGTAGATTTGTGTTTGTATGCTCTGTGACATGTAGAAACGTGTCCAGATTTCGTAATACCTAGAGTAGTGCCGAGCTGTCTATAATGGTTTATGAATCATCTGTAAGATAACATGAGTAAGTTTACCTGGCGTCATAAATGTGGCTAGAATCCATTCTTCTATTCTTTTTTCGTTTGTTATGATTACCCATTAGTTTAAATACTAAGTGCTAGATATTTAATAGATATGTTCATACCCTAATCTCGTCAAGATATCTAGTGATTCCATTGTATATTCTAGTATATATATATAGCCCTCATATGGCAATTTGTATGGTAACGGTCCCGTTTCTCTTTGCTTTGAGGGAACAAGGTGGAATCATCGGGGTTACCTCCTCTTGGGACAATACGTATTTAGAACACACGTCACTCGTATGAGTAATGGAAAGTAAAAAAAAAATATTTAACCTATATCAATTATCCACGTACTTTATATTGGATTGATCACACTGTGGTTGGGGAACAGAAATGTGAAAATAAAATGTTTAACACAAATTTTGTAAATTTTAATATTCTAAATATTTACAATAAACTTTGATAAATCCGCATCTAATTCGTACAGCAGACCCTAAAAAAGAAAATGGTGATGCACATTTGCAGGATGTATGTAATAGACTTTCCTTGTACATTTAATTGTGAATGTGAATGATTACAAGGACTTCCTTTCAGATAGTGCTAAATACGAGAATTCCTTTTAAAATGTCAACTTAAATTAATTTTATTTTGTAAATTGTATCTCCTTTTTCACTTGTATCTTTCTAAGATTTATTTATGAACGTCTTAAATTATTTTGTGTTATCTATGCAGGTAAATTTATGATATATATGCATTTTTAAAACGGCGAAATACTCAGTAAAAAATGAATTATTACATCTACTCGTTTACAATGACGTATGTACACAACAGTTGGTGACGTCGATGAGAGTTCCGACGCCCAGTGGAATTAGATTTATTATACAAATCGCCGCTGGATTACTGGTGTTCAAGATACCAGGATTGCCCCGGTAGTGTCTTGAAAACGAACATCAAACGAACATCAGTTCTAATAAGTCTACTTTATTTAATTTCTGAGGGAGAATGCCGAACCTTAAAATATCATCTAATGTTGTTGCCTTTTAGGGATTAAATCTTTAAAAGTTTAATTTCTGAGGGAGAATGGCGACCCTTAAAATATCATCTAATGTTGTTTTCTTTTAGGGTTTAAATCTTTAAAAGTTTTAAGATTTTATCCACCGTTTTCATTTTTGCCCCATAAATAAATGGAAGGCATTTTGTTGGTTTCAGTCTTCATTCCAGTTCTAGAATTATACCTTATCTATATTTGACATAAACTGGAAAACCATCATAACCCTGTATTATTTCGTTTGTTCACAAAATGAAAAACCAATCATTGAAGAGACATTTCCCTAATACCTAAATTAAAGGATATATTGAAAATTAGAATAGTTTTAGATCATATAGTTGTTAATTTATATATTGTACATATAGTTGTAGAATGTGTTGATCAAAACTCCAAAATGTGTCAATTTCATCGCATTTGTTTTACCATTGCTGTAAAAATCCACAATAAACTAATTGTATCATGTAAAATCGATCAAATAAAGCATAAATCAAACTCTTTTGAATGATATATGTAATTTCTGTATAAATCCTTTCTTTTTTGTGACATTGGTATATTATATCAATTATGAATATTATTTCCCCACTATTCTAATGAAGACAGCTTAATCCAATTATACCGGAAAATATATGAATTAATACTTTAAATTATCAATGAAAACTTATAAATTAATATTTTAAATTATACTAATAAATGGATATTTTAAAATCGTTATTTATTTAATTTATTAATTTATTAATTTATTATTAATTTATTAATGTATTTATTTATTTATTTATTTATTTCGATATTTCAATAAAAAAAACAAAATCAAAATAACTATATGAACAATAACAATTCCCCACACCTTGGAAAATTAAGAAAAATAAATATAGGAGTATATTATTTAAGAAATCGTACATTTTATATATTTATTAGTCTTGATTAATCATAGAGTAAAAGGTGCAATCATACAGCTGAAAGGTTAATTTGAAATTTATTACACGTATCATAGAGACGCCATATCATTTCTTGATTAAGCAAACTGCGCGTTCTTGCTGCTTTTAATTCAGTATGTTTGATCTATGCATGAACATGAATCAATTCAAGATTTAGAAGCAATAAAATTGACACAATTGAAAGGTATTTGCGTTCATGATTTCGCATAATTCTAAACACAATGATTCATAACACAGGAAGGGCCCAGCATTAAGCACATTGTAGTAAACCTAATTCTTGCATATCTCGCAACACACATTGTCCATATTAAAATTGTCACGCCTCTAAAATGAATTATCTTGTAATTACGGCTAAGCGAGTGTCGTTAACCCTTTATTTTTTTCAGAGCAGAGGTTGTGGGTATGCGTCTCTGAGTCAGAATGTCAAATATCTTAGCAGACCACCGACCTATAGAGGAATTATATATGCATAATTCTCAAAACATTATTCAATGTAAAATGAATGCCCTCTATTTAGACATTTCGGCAAGAATTCGAATAAGAGCAACAAATAATACACGCTATGCAAAACCAATTTAAGTTTCTGCAACAACCTAGCCGATGAAGACGGGCATACGCAATGCAGTGTGCTATGAGGGAGAGGGGCATGCGATATGCAGTGTGCTATGAGGGAGTGTGCTATGAGGGAGAGGGGCATGCGATATGCAGTGTGCTATGAGGGAGAGGGGCATGCGATATGCAGTGTGTTATGAGAGAAAGTTTTAAAATTTCTCCCCAACAGCGACGTAAGGCCTGGTCTTATTTCCAACTGTCTGAGGTCTTTAGTGTGGTGCAAATGTTCTAGACACCTCTCGCTTGCACCAATGACAAGGCTAAGCCAGACTAGAAAGTCCCGAGGAACTATCTCGAACCAGGGACCTCATAGTCAGTGAGCTAGCAACATACTCATCGAACCACCCCTACTCACACTTAATTTATTTGGTCGTATACCAGGCATTTGTAATTCACTGGATATCATTTCCAGATATTCAATAGACAATGTAGGGAAGGTGCACAACAAAACACAGACATAGAAACATAATAATGGCCAGAGTTCTAAAATGATTTCAGGGGGTTGGGTGTGGCCGAATGTTTAACGCGTGTGCGTTGCATCATAAGGTCTGTCATTGATTCTGGTGGCGTGGTGTCGATTCCCCGTGTGTACGTGACAAAGAGTAGGATTTTCTTTCCTCCCACTGATAAAGAAACCTACGCGCAAGCGAATTAATGAAATAAAATTTGAACGATGCGTTAGTTCCGAAATGATCTAGTTTGTGTCAAGTGTACGTTAAACCCAATCTTTCTCTCTCTCTCTCTCTCTCTCTCTCTCTCTCTCTTGTAAAACAGTTTATAACATTTAACAAATTTGTTTTCTTTTATCCAAGTTACAACAGAAAGAGATTGTTAACCATCATTAACATGTTGGTAATTCTAAAGAATTGAGAAAAATAAACCGAAAACGAGATAGTTAATCATGACTCTCTCCCTCTCTCTCTACAGTGATCTCAATAGCTTTATCTAGATATTTAATATAGACAATGAAGGAAAAGTGTCCAAAAACCACAGACACAAAAACATAACAATCGACAAAGAGATTCCATTAGCTATTAAAACCACAATACGAATATTTTGATTCAATTCGAATTCAAGGCAGTTGTTTTAAAGCTAATTAGTACAAATATACCTCAAACTGATCCAACATACCATTGGAAAATATAATACAAAGTAAAATAAACGAAGCTGTTAATATTATTTACCATAAGGAAAAACAATGGAAATGGTAACTCTTTTTGGACTAGTAATAGTCAGAGGCTATAAATATGGTAATTATTCTCGTGAAGCTTGTTCTCGGCTAACTAATGATTATAGTTATTTGTTTTGGCTAGCCCTTGCACATTTCATCTCCGTTTTCTATGTCTATATTTCTTTTTCAAGACGGATTGGAAATGTGACAGCCTGCACCTGAAACATATGGTGTTCGGTCATATGTAGCTAAGATAATATGCAAAAGAACATTCAACACTTTTCATCAGCGAGGGAGCAATAATTCGCCTCATCGCTTAAGACATTTATTTTACTTTGACATATTGTAATGTCGTTAACTACTGGCCATCACACTCAGTTGATTATTGGATTACACTTCTTCCTTTCCTGCCTTCTTTTTCTCAGTTTCTTTCCTCCATTCTTCCCATGATTCCTGGTCTCGCGAGATTCGAGTTTATTTGCTCCTTTTGACAAGGCGCCATTGTCACGTGCTGATTAGCCCCGTTGTCCACTTGTGTAAGGTTCAGTATCTAAATCTTAATCAGGCTTTGATTAGCTGTAAGTTAATTTGGAATATCAGGATGGCCAATGGACAGTCTAATGAAGAAATATCATTTTTGCCTATGTCACGACCATTGTTGTCTTGTACGGTTGATTTGTTATTGTTACAATCAAAACATCGCCTGTCCTGGACACAGAAAGTAATTCACATTGTTCTCCACCCAGGCGAACTAATTGGTCAACGTTCGGTCCAATTCTTTAATTGAATTTTGCATGAGCCAATATTCCGTCCAATGTTCTAATCGGATAACACCATGCATCATACATGATTTATAAGTTATATACGACAAATACGACAACAAAACATGCACTGAACAACAGCTACTCAGATTAAAAGAGAGAACTAATCGATATAAAAGTTAAATGTTTGTGGAGATTTCTCAAAATTTAATATATAAACATCCATCAGTCTCAGGCGTACTGTGAATTTCTCGGAGTTTGCATTATGGGATGATCTTTACAGAATAAATCATACTAGGGGTATACTACAAGGATCACATTTAGGGTCTCTCGTTTTTTTCTAAATGGGTCATAAACAAGGAATGGGAATCATTATACACAGATTATCACAATATTTATTGAATTTATTAGTTAAAACGTTATATTGGAATTGATCAAGTCAAATAAACAAAAGTTCACATTTCCATCTAAGAATTTTCTTTCCTCCAGAACCGATAAAAGGGGAATAACTCGAAAATAATCGATACACTAATATTTAATGTTCTTTATATGACTAAATTAAATGCAGCAGATTTACTTTTAGAATTTACACTAACCAGTTTTAAACCTTCTTTAACTACGCGAAATTAAAACGTTGGAATGGGTTGTACGACCGTTTTCCATTATGGCAATATAAAATTTTCAAAACGGTAATAATTGGAAATAATTGACGAGTAAGCAACATTAGTATAAATAAGACATACTAAGAATGCTTGATTTTTCATTTCCTTTAACAAAGTGTAAACTAGTGTTTAACATCTCGTCATCACCATACTTCTGTCATAGTGAGACTAACATGGTAATATTCATTTGTTAGGTGTACAATGAGTTTGGGAGAATTGTGCCCGGACAGCGGTGTTCCATGCTAACGTTTCTTTAGTGGACGCCAAATTGTGCATTTGTCTACCCATATTTTCGTCACATCGGAACAACTAGGCACACCTATCTTGACAAGAAAGAATCCGGCGAGCACTGTGGCCCCAACACAAGGTTTAAATATTTTTACAATGTCAACCAGAATTTTTCTTTCTAATAAGCTATAAACCCGTTAACGTCATAAGTACAAGTTATGCTGGGTGTCATGCACGAGGCTCGAACAGCTTAATCTTTTCCACTCTAGTACCACGTGTGACATCTGCTGGAGAGACATTGTCTCGTGTTAAGTTCACACAGGATAGTGTTTTGAAGAGTCGTCTCGCCATTCGAATATTGCAGTTTTATTGACTAAATGCTTACCATGCCACCGAAACTTTTGATGTTGAGAAGCTGCCCCTTTCTTAATTATAGTTCAATGGACAATGGCATTAACACTTCGAACATTCCACTCCGTTATCTATTAGAGAAAGTGACAAACAACCGATTTTAGTAACAATAAACTTCATATTTAATGTGGGGTAAAAAGCATATTTTGTTTATTGTGAAATTCTGTGTGAAAAATATTATCAAAACCGAACTGAAATACCAAAATATTAAACAAAATGGAACTGGCTTTCTGCAAGGATCATATTACAGTTTAATCTTAATAATTGTTGCGTTAAATATATCAGGAATTTTATACGAACTTATGAAATCAAATATCAAGGGTTTTTCAATATTCTAAACGTTAAACTGGAAATTACAAAATACTGTACGTAATTCATTATATGGCGTGACAAATTAAAAACAAACAAAAAAAAACAACCATTGAACATTGTAAGGCATTGTAAACTCAAGACAGCAGTCTATACATTTAAAAGTGGGGAATACATTAGAACCAAAAAAATATCTGTTTTTCATTAGAATTCTCATTTAGCTGAACAGTTAACATTATAGGTAACCACTTCTAATTTGCCTCGTTTTTGGCCCTTGTATTTCCTTTGGAAACTGTTTAATGTTTTATGTAAAAACTGTGTGCGGTCACTAAGATCGGTAATGCCCTTGGGCAAAACTTACTGAACGGAATTATATTAATAATCAATTTGATTACTATTGAATTGTTTTGTGT